CTGGGAAGGACCGAGTATTTTCTATTCCGGGCTTTTTTAATACAAATTTAAATATTCTATTTATTTTATTGTTTAATGAAATATGATTTCAGAAAACAGAGGACGTCTATCGATTTGCTATCTAGCCGTGTCCTTAGTTTATTCACAAAATTCCCCGAAGTAGAAAATACCCTCTCACTTGCAACCAAACTAGGCTTAATCATTTTTAAAGCCTAATATAATAATTCTAAATTTTTTGTCCTTTTATTTGTGGCTTCCAAGACCAAAAACTCTTGCCTTAGAGTTTGAGTAGAGGAAGTCACTTCTTTCGGTTCCTTTAAATATTTATTAATTGCCACTTCCATTGCATTTTTCAATAAAACATTGTCCGGCTCTTGAATATCGCTTTCATCACGTTTTTGAAAATCACATTCTTCCCCTGTAGAGTAATCTTTATATAATCTGGACAAAATTTATCCGGATAACTTAATAATGCCACTTTTCGTTGCTAAGGAAAGAAATTTTTTAGAAGATTTCGTTAAAACAGTGTGAGAATTTTGTAAATAAAGGATAAGTTTCTTCAATCCGTGCTTTTATAGCGTGTAATAATTTCTGACAAATTTCGGATTTCAAATTTTGTATTTCACTCAGCAAAAATTCAAATCTTCACTTGTTAATAAATTTACGTCTTCTCTACCTAAAGCTTCGGCTGCGAATTCTATCAGACCTAAAACTTTAAGGAGTTCTACAACATTGTAATATTCTTCTTCATCCTCATTCCACATATGAGAAGCATTAAGGTCATTCAGAGTTAAAACAACACATTCTTTTAGGTGTACAAATCTTTCTAACATGGCCTCTAAACGATTCCATCTTGTTTTACAATCAAGAATAAGATTATATTCTTTCTCGTATTTGGGTTTCACGTGATTCTGAAGAATGCTATTTTTGATAGGGATTTATTGTCTCTATTTATTAATCAAAATACGATTCGGTGTATTTTTCCACCATCATCAGTTTTTCTAAAATAACAGATAGTTAAAAAAAAAATCATTAATTTAAAAAACCACCACAGTTCGTCAACAGCCTCATCATATCACACATTAAAATACATCGCAATTGCAATACTTTAAAACATTCTAAAATTAATTAGGCCTAACAGGTGATTAGTCAGGACAATCAAATTTAGGAAGAGACTAGAATTCTTCGTTCAGATAGTTAATTATTTTTACTTACGTAGCGTTGTTGCTGCTTTAAGCCTTGGCATGCATTTGGAGTATTAATTTTGTCCATTATCGGACACAAAACGAATAAAATACTGTTTATATTGATTTCTTTTACTTTCAGCTATTTTTCTTTGCATTCTGAGAATATTATTTTTGGTTTGCAAAATTCTTCAATATACCGGGTGTTAGTTAATATTTTGTGTTTATTTCATTTAATTAATGTATGATATGCTGAGCTAAGGTTGTCGGTATCTGATCTGAAATTCATAGCATTGTTTTTTAATCTGTATCATTTCATGAACTCTTCTCTTATTATAATTACTCTCGTTAATCAGTATTTTTGTGTTATCAAAATCAAAATTATGCAACTTCTGTTGTGCATGCTGTGCTAATGCT